AGGGGCCAATCTGACCATTTCTAACTATGATACTTCAGTCCCCCTTAGTGTTCATGGTGATTATGTCGGACAGTACAATTCTCATGTTTATATATATATATATATATATATATATATATATATATATATATATATATATATATATATATATATATATATATATATATATATATTTCACATTCAGCTTCTTGTGTGCTTTATAATTTCTTGCATGACACAACTGGAAAATGACATGAATTAAATCAAGATTTTTTTTTTTTTTTTCAGAGAGGTGGGAGTATTGCATGTTTGTAGTCCTCAGGCAAAGCAATTACCGCAATGAGTGTTTGCATGATAATTGAGCTTGATGGTGTTTAGTGTGAGAGAGGCCAACCAAATTTGCTGTGTGTGTGTGTGTGTGGATAATGCAAAGATAATGTGCAGCGATGACTACAGTTCATTTTTTTTTTGAGAGAGAGAGAGAGGGATTGTAACAAAGGGTCCACAGAAAATGGGTTTAGCTGAGGAATTTTAATGAATTAATGGAATTCATTTGAGCCCATTGTGAATAATTCTGAACCAGATGAATGAGCAGCTCTGGACTGCAGCACTGATAGCACAACAAATCGCCCTTAAAAGTTTTTGAAGCAGATGGAATGATCAAAATTAATACAAATTGGCAAAGGGGGGCCAAAGATCCAAATTCATATATGAGCCATTAAAGGCAAAGATTTGGCACTTATGGCAAAATGTAATCTGAATGTGAGCCCAATGTAGCCCATGTGGAAAATGATACATTTGGCCCAAATGACAGAGGACAAATGTGGGCTGCAGTTGGCAAATATTTGGCATAGTCATTTAAGGGTAAACTGGGTCTAAACCTAAAGTGGCTCACATGTGTAGGTGCAAATGTGGCCCAGTTATTTTAAGACATATGTGGGCCACTTTTGCAAATATTAGGAACAGTAAACTCTGGCTAATGCAGCCGTTAGCCTATAGTGGCCCAGAGGAGATATGGCAAATGTGGCCCAGGTATCTTAAAACATATGTGGACCACTTTTGGCACCATGATGGAGAAAAGTGTTTGCTTTAGCCCTGAAATTTTCTTTTGGGCTGATGTAAATTTTATGAGCTTTGCTTGAAAAGTTTGTTAATTACAGCAACAAAAATGAAGTGAGGCACAATGTTACCAATGTTTAATCCATTATTGGAAGTAATAGGCCAGATCTGGGCCAGAATAAAAGCAAACTGTGGCCCAGAATAGGGTCAGTTCTGGTTCAATTGGTTGAATTCTGGCTAATATGTGGTATTGCTTTGGCTTATTTGTGGCCCAGATCTGACGAACAGCAGTGGACCGCCCTAGAGCCATCATTCCATTTAGTATGTGGTCCAGTGTAAGTGTCTGGTGTGGGCTGTATTTGGGCCTGAATAAAAGTAAACTGTGGCCTAGAATAGGGTCAGGGAGCAGAATGATAATGCTTAAATCACTACTATGCAAGATTTCCAATGGGAATGTTACCAAAAACCTTTACCAGTATAGTACAAGGCTTGGAATACCACACATTTTTAAGCCAGGCTCATTCTGAAAACATACCCTCTATATACATTTCTGGAGAGCACCAAATACATACAAGGAGGTACATTTCTTTGCCGTTCATTAGAATCCACCAGAGGTCGCTGTATACACTTTTTGATATCTCAAATTTCTCTCACGAGTGCAATTCATGCCTGCTCTTTTGTGTAAATCCAGCGCTATTGACTAACTGACTGAGTGATCGACTGACCTACCCTTCTCCCTCCCTAAAACAAACCAATACCACCCACTTCCCTAAACCCAACTGCCAGTGTTTTCAAAAGCAATCCAGAAAAAAGAAAAGCCCCCTGATTTTTATCATATTGTCACCAGAGGTCTGTTCATCGTTCGTGGATTACTCAGTTAGCTGGATTTCGTTATTGATGATTTGACTCTATCCAGAATTGTTTTGTTCTTCAAAACTCATCCGAAGTTGTTGTCATAGCAACAGGTCTGGTAGCTCAAACCTGCTCAGGAGCAGGCTAATTTCATTTCATTAACAGGATTAGAGTTAAAAATATATATTAATAAAACTTATGCAATCTGCACTCCGAAATAAAAGTACAAAGACTGCCACCTAGTGGTTCAAAGAGAAAATGTATTAATATGAACCGTTTACATACAATCATATACCATCGCTTTAGTAAAACTTGTGTATGATAATAGACATGCACAATATGCGACTTTTTAAAATAATAATACATTTATGCTGTCATGACCATGTTTTGACAGTTATTATGATGGTGATTTGATGCTTCACAAAAGTGGCAAACATCTTTACCGATATCAAAATGATTTTGTAATGCAAAATTGATTTAAACATCCAGTTATTCTTTACACCGATTAAGAAACCGGCTACTATTATACGGCTATTATAATAAAAAAATCCACTGTAAAACTAAATAAATAGATAAATACTCTTGACACATGAAAGTGTAAAGCATGCAGCCCACAACTAAGAAGGAAAGTTATTTCGTATCATATTTAACAAACCGTTTCCTATGAATTTTATGTAATTTTGCTTACATGGATAATTGAATATTAATCAGATGATGTCATTACGCTGCTGTGCCGTCAGCCAATCATTGCATTGCTGATCATGATTTCGAGGATCGATTGATCTGTCCTTCAGAACACATGCAGCGATTCCAGATCAGTTCATCCAGACATTTTGATCTGGTTTACAGACATGTTTGAAGAACCAAATTAGCCAGAGCTCAGTTATTAAGATTAAAAGATCCAAAATCTGTCAAATCATCTTAGATAATTTAAGCAAGGTATGAAGAATGGACCCCAGGTTATTTACTTGTTTATTTATTTTTTGGCTTTTGTTTGTGACTTACCTGCTTTCTGGAACCGTACTTCGCCAGGCTCGAACCCCTTTGTCATGGTCAACTCTGACGTATGCTGTGAGCAAGTAGACAAACTGATAACAGCAAGAAAGCTGTCCGTATGGAGGTAAGTGGTCAGCTGGTAAGCCAGAAAAGGAACGACGTCATTCATACTCCACGTTGCAATAGTTTTAAAGACGAAATGCAGCCATGTATACTTCTGACCTCATAATTATCAGTCTGCAGAATTTGTTCATAGGGGTTGGTTTTAAGAATGAGCCGAAGTTGCACATTTTGCATTCATCACAACACTTAACACAGAGACTGCACTTAAGGAATTTGCACAGACCCTTGGAATCATCCTGCAAGATTGTTCCTAGAATTGTGCATGTTGTGGTACATCTCTGTAGTGCTTTTCTAAGATGTTTAAAGTTTGCCCCTGTTATGACCCTTGGCGGCAATCAATCAGGGGTCCGTTCTTTGTACGTGGATTACTCAGTTAGCTGGATTTGGATATTGACGATTTGACACGATCCAGGATCATTTCGTTCTTCAAAGCTGATCTGAGAGTTGTTGTCATAGCAACAGTTTTGCTAGCTTAAACCTGATTGGGAGCAGGATCAATTTATATAAACAGGATTACATCGGCTTAGTTCAAGCAAAGATAATAGAGAAAGTATGTTCCGAATTCTGATATTTTCTTACAGTAGTAGTTATATACACTTGGGAAAAGAGTAAATATTTTTAAACTATATATATAAAGTTATAGTTATTAATAAAATAAATAAAGTTATATATATATTAATAAATCTTATGCAATCTGCACTCTCGAAATGAAAGTACAAAGACTGCCGCCTGGTGGTGCACAGAGAAAACTTATTGATATGAACTTTTTAGATCGCTTTAGTACAAATTGTGTATAATAGAAATGCACAATATGTGACTTTTTTTAAAGCAATAATACATTTATGCAGTCATGAACATGTTTTGATGGTTAATATGCCAGTGATTTGATGCTTCACAAAAGTTGCAGACGCCTTTACCAATACCAAAATGCTTTTGTAAACATCCAGTTATTCTTTACACCGATTAAAAAAACGGCTACAATAATAAAGAAAATATTTTCTAAATGTAGAATTAAATACATTGATATGCATTGAAATACATGATGAATACTCTTGACACATGAAAGTGTAAAGCCTGCAGCTCAAAACAAATGTGGAAGGTTATTGCGTGTCATTTAACAAACCGTTCACTGCTAATTTGACATAATTTTGCTCTCATGGATAATTGAATATTAATCAGATGATGTCACTACGCAACTGTGCCATCAGCCAATCGTTGCATTGCTGATCATGATTTCGAGGATCGATAGATCTGTCCTTTACAACACATGCAGCGATCTCAGATCAGTTTATCCAGACATTCTAATCTGATTCGCGAACTTGTTTGAAGAACCAAATTAGCCAGAGATCAGTTATCGAGATGGAAAGATCCAGGATCTGCCAAATCATCTTAGATCATTTAAGAGAGGTACGAAGAACGGACCCCAGGGGTTACCATAATCCTCCAAGATGTAAACAAATGTTATTTATCTCCTATTGATCTGGAAATTTCCATTGTCTATTTTTCTAATTGAAAAAAAACAACAAAACAATTAATCACTGTTCCTTTCGCTAGCTAAAGTGAGACCCAGGAAACAAGCCATGCAAATGTCTTTGCAAACCACTCTGTATATTCATGTGGTAAAGAGACATCCCGCTGTACAAGCTGGGACAGTGAAGTTGTAAATCTGTAGGTTGTTTGGCTAAGGGGAGCCCGCAGCTTAACTCAATTATTGTTGTTCGGGCTATAAAACACCACGAAAGCGTTGCTCCAAGAGCAATGGAGCAAAACAATATTCTCATATGATTTACACAAGGAGAAAAGGCAGAAGAAGCAGTCAATGCTTGACTGCTGCCAGATCAAGGGAGCTTTCCACAAAAAAAAAATCTGGATTTTAGCAGCTGCGGAAAAGTTATGAAGAAAGGATTAAGGCACCACTAAAGGTGTGATGGAAATCCGCAGTGAAACAGATATCTGTCCATTCCTACAGAGTTCAGCGTCCCTGCTTTCTTCCAACCATCCACTCCGGCTGCCTGAGGCTGAAAAAGCGCGCAAGAGAAAGTAGGAGGAGTGCAGTACCCGGCAGCTCCACCCACCAAAACCTCTAGCCAATCAGAAGTGCCCTGCAAGCCTCCACTACAATAGGTGAATGTCTCCTAAGTGAGATGAGACGGGAGAGGGAGAGAAGACCTGTGTGAGCCCCTGTCTGACTCATTCACCCATGGGAGTTTGAAGTGACAGAATAAATCTACAGAGACGAGGCTCAGGATAACATTTCAGAGCTGAGAGCAGGCAGGCACATACACACAGACAAACAGAGCCACAGCTGAGTGAGAGACAGACAGATATACAGAACATCCACAGAGAGATAAGAGTTGGAGTCATTGTCATGTTGGTGGTGTTACTGATCCTGCATGCCGTGTCCTGTGCCCATTCTCACGGGTCGCCGGGTGCCGCTGTGCCTGTGAAGCAGTGTCCGTCTGCTTGCCAGTGTGAGGAGGATGGCATCCTGCTTCTGGTGGACTGCTCCGAACAAGGACTATCCAGCGTGCCAACTGATCTGAGTCCTTTGACGTCTTACCTGTGAGTACGCCCTCCCGCTTCTGTCATCCACTTTGATGGGATTGTGAATGGCTTGCTTTGATTACATGAAATATCTTCAAAAGGACGCTGTGTGATTATTGTTTTAAACGCCTGAATGATGGGTTTGGTAGATATGAAAGGCTCAAAGTTAATAATAGACTCTGTCAAGAGTGGTTGATCTGATCGGTGGTTCTCAACTTGTTTGCTTCAGGACACAGATTTAATGTTATTATTATTAGACGGCATAACTGAGACGGTAGAGATGTTGATAGTTTAGAAGTAAACAGTAATTCAATTCTGTTGATGTTACCTTCTCAAATTTTCTAAAGGGAAAGGGTTGAGTGGGAAACAGAATCTTTAGTTTTTAAATTTCATATAATTCTGGGAGCACCTGTATTTCAATCTTGCGGTTCATGATGAGTACATGGTCAGGCTATCCTCTCTGATTTGACCGCTTCTCCTAAGTGACTGATGGATTTGTGCTTGAATACCTTTGTTTGAATGAATCAATGATAAACACTTAGGAGGATTTGTCTACCTTATTAAACACACCTCTGCTATTACTTAATTTGCTTACACTATCCCACTTCTAAAGTTTTCACGTGACCTTATCAGAACAGACCTGCAACCCATTCCTGGATCTCGATCCACCGGTGCAGTATGACACACATGTGATCTGTCTTACGTGATCCTTGCTGATGTGCACCTTCAATCAGGGTTGCTATACAAACTCACATTATCGAGGCTATATTTTGACCCAAACGGGATACTTTCAGTGCTGAGTGCAATGCTTGTTCCCCATGTGTCCTGTGACAGTTCTCCACGCAGTGGTATCTGATGGGAACGTGTGTGTAGAGTGATGCAGTGGGGCGCTCTGTACGGTATTGGGTTTCTCCATGTCAGCTGGAAGCCTGTTGGGTTTAAGTCCATGCTAATCGCTAAGGCATGCCATATGTCCCCTGATTGTGAATGATGACGCAAAGGAGGACTCAAATGTTCGCTCATAAAACGTTGAGCAGCTCACGTGAATCAATAACTGGAGAGAGTTGTGTTTCAGGCTTTGGAGGAAGCGTAGGTTGGGAATTGGATTGCAAACACATGTACCGCAACCTTTCAAACATATTGAAACGTCTTGAGGAGTGTCTCTAGACATTTGCAAGTGCATGAGATTGGATCTCTTTTTTATACTGCCAATGTTATAGGGAAATTTTTCGCATTACGCAATAAATTGCATGGCATCAAAATTGAAATAAATGATTCTTTAGCCAATCGTAATTTAATAATTTATTATGTGATTTATTAAAATAACCCAGCATTTATATCATCCGCAGTTCAAGTTACGCATTTCACATGCTTTTGTAGAAACCGTTTTCCCCTCCACAAAGATTCAGTCGAGCCTGTGTAGATCAGACAAGCAGAAGTCTTTCAAACACAATGCCTCCTCTAACACTTTCTTTCTTCACCGGAGGAGCAGATTGACGTAAATATTGACAGAGCTTTGATGTGCATGTCATTGTTGAGATGTCAAAGTGTGTGTTTTAGTACGAAGGGGACCATTCTGCAAGAAAGCTCTGTTCTTATGATGCTGTTTACTAAGAGAACTCATTCACCGCTCGTCTTTTTTACGCCAAACTTTTACACAAACCAAGAAGAGGTGTTTGCGTTAGACATGTACAGAACATACAACTGCTTTCTGAGCTGCTTTCCATAGCTTATTTCACTGGCATGGTGTTATTATTATTTTACTTTTAACAGCTTTTAATATATGACGGGTCTTGACTCTTTATTATATTAGAGGATGAGCTATATGGTTGCTTTGCAATCAGTTCTTGTATGCACACAATTAAACTAGAGACTTCACATTTGACTCCCTAATCTAATTGGGAATCAATCTTCCTTAGAAACCCTTGACATAAATGTATTTTTCGTATTTCTTTTTATATAGTACATTTTAAAATCGTGACATTCTTGATATTTAAGAAAATGACAATTGTACATTGTTTTAAGGTAGCCTCCTATAATCACTGAAGCCTTTTAAAACTATGTTATTATTGTTTGTGTACATAACAAGCATATGCTATCCATCAGTATTTTTTTTTTCTTTGCATGGTGAGTCTTGCTTAACCCTAAACATTCACAAAACAGAGCTAAAAGCAAAGCACAAGTGGGAGCTGTGTGAACATGCTACTGAGAAAGCAGGCAGCAGTGCCGGACATTCTGCCAGCATTAAATGCCTGTCCTGTCTCACTCTGCAGCGATCACCCATATGGGACAACAGGTGCCCTGGGGCGCGGAAAAAGCCTGTCACCAAGAGAGCCTGTTTTTGCGCTGGTTTTTGTTTGTTTCTGTTGCTTCGACAGGAGTGGATGTTGAGGTACATCAGACAAGGAGAAGTTAGAGGCTGCTGTTTTGTACACATAAATAATACTTGCATGCATATTCCTAAACATACACACAGTTGAACTGTTGATTGACTTATTTTGTAGATATGCAATATTTAAAAGCAGCCAATATTCAATTCGATTCATGTTGATTTCTTTAGCGCTTTTACAATGTAGATCGTGTTAAAACAGCTTAACATAGAAGTTCTAGTGTCAGTCCTGTTTTCAGAGTTGAAGTTCAGTTTAGTTCAGTTCAGTGTGGTTTAAATTTCACTGCTGGAAGTGCAAACACTGAAGAGCAAATCCATCGATGTTTAGCTCCACAAGTCCCAAACCAAGCAAGCCAGTGGCGACAGTGGGGAAGAACAAACTTAACCAATGGAATGTGGAATCGAAAGTGAAGGAATCAAACCTATAAGACACAGATTCCTTGCATACAATCACAGTATACAGTTGAAGTCAGAATTATTAGCCCCCCCTGTTTATTTTTCCCAAATTTCTGTTTAACGGAGAAAATAATTTATTCAACATATTTTTTAACATAATAATTTTGATAATTCATTTCTAATAACTGATTTATTTTATATTTGCCATAATGACAGTACATAATAATTTACTAGATATTTTTCAAGACACTTCTATACAGCTTAAAGTGACATTTAAAGGCTTAACTAGGTTAATTAAATGATGAGTCAGGTTAGGGTAATTAGGCTAATTATTGTATAATGATGATTTGTTTTGTAGACTATCGAGAAAAAATAGCTTAAAGGAGGTATTCATTTTAACCCTTAATTTGTATATATATATATATATATATATATATATATATATATATATATATATATATATATATATATATATATGTGTGTGTGTGTGTGTGTGCTTTTATTCTAGCCAAAATAAAACAAATCAGGCTTTCTCAAGAAGAAAAAAAAATATTATCAGACATACTGTGAAAATTCCCTTGCTCTTTTAAAAAATTTTTGAGAGATGTTTTAAAAAGAATAAAAATTCAAAGGGGGGTTAAAAATTCTGACTTCAACTGAATGTATTCGCTGACATTCATATATACTTTTAATGCATTTCATATATCTGTTGATGCTGTTTTAAACCTGCTGTTATATTTTCATTATTTTCAAGGGATAATTCAACCAAAAATGAACATTATTTTCTTCATGTGCCGTCCTAAACTCTTTGAATTCCTCTTCTCTGTTACACAAAATAGGATATTTCTTGGAATGTTTCATCTGATTTTTGTAAATACAGTGAAAGTCAGCATGAAACAAAACATAATCAAGGACCTATGAGATTTTTAGAGATGACATTAGTAAATAAATCTATAATTAGTTAAATATAATTATATATAGGGCGAGGCAGTGGCGCAGTGGGTAGTGCTGTCGCCTCACAGCAAGAAGATTGCTGGGTCGCTGGTTCAAACCTCGGCTCAGTTGGTGTTTCTATGTGCAGTTTGCATGTTCTCCCTGCTTTGTGTGGGTTTGCTCCGGTTTCCCCCACAGTCCAAAGACATGTGGTACAGGTGAATTTGGTAGGCTAAATTGTCCGTAGTGTATGAGTGTGTGTGTGAATGTGTGTGGATGTTTCCCAGAGATGGGTTGCGGCTGGAAGGGCATCCGCTGTGTAAAAACTTGCTGGATAAGTTGGACCCCGGATTAATAAAGGGACTAAACCAACAAGAAAATGAATGAATGAATAATTATATATAATTATAATTAAAGTATTATTTTTACCTTCATAGCCAAATTCAGCCGCATGTGTGTATTTCTGAGCTAAAGCAAATTAGGGGTACTGATCTATGTATTGGCTTTCCCAGAGATGGGTTGTGGCTGGAAGGGCATCCGCTCAGTAAAACAGTGCTGGATGAGTTGACAGTTCATTCTGCTGTGGCGACCCCCAGTTAATAAAGGAACTAAGCCGACAAGAAAATGAATGAACTATGTATTGTCAACCCAAACGACTAAACTACTGCAATAAAGATAAAGCCCATTAATTTAAAAATCTAAAATATAAAAAGTGATATAAATTTAAACAAAACTACATAACTTGATTTAAACATAAATACTTTGTATAACAAAAACAACAACAAACACCTTTGTTTTAACTCACAAAGCCATATCCTCTGGATTTCCCCATCTGTCGCTCTGTTTTCACCAACAATGTCGCCAAAAGTTTCAAAGTATTTGCAGAGCGACGTGTCTGTCGTGTTATACCGCAAACCGCGAATGAAGATCTTCGTTAAAGCTGTGTTTTTCTGAATACTGGGATCCATTGTCTCCACAGTCCTATTCACAAAGTGATATAGAAGCATCTGGGTGCGAAATTCAGTGCGAAGTAGATCGTACAAGTTATAAATAAGTATAAATAAACATATATTTATTTAACATTAGGTTAGCTCAACTAAAGATGAGTACAATCAACAACCAGCCAAACATCATTGTATGACCAGTTTAAACCTCAAAGCTGTCAGCCCATTCCCTGAAGCCAAGGCCCATATATTTTCATCTCTCTCAGGGCAATTTTCTACACAAACACAAATTAATGTTGAGCTCGGGCTGAGGGCTGCAGACACATGTTTTCGCTTACTGGCCTGCCTCAACTTCC